ATTATTTACACATGATTTATTGCAAGAATGGGCTACATGATACCCTTGTAAAAGTATTTTAAACTGTATAAAAAAAAATTGAAATCAATTGTGAAAATCTGCATGCATCTCTACTACCGTTTTCACTATTTTAGTTGTTTGAAAATGTTAAATTAAATTTTTTTTTTTTTTTTTCACATCAATGTCTTGTCTTCAAATATGCCATAAAAAATGCTGATAGTAAAAGAACTATATGAAACTATATTCAAGATCGAAAAAATGGGTAAGTATTTTACAGGATGGTTATTTTTTGAGAACTATTCTAATTTTAAAAGCTTTTTTAATTATTTGCATACTTGGAAATTAAACTTTGATTTGTATTTGTATGGCTTAGGACACTATTATTTCGAAATAAAGAGAATTTTGAAAAAGATAATCACAATAAACTCAATAATGTAGATGATGAAAGAGTAATCATATTATTTATTTCAATAAATCAATATACATATTAAGAATTAATTTTCATTTCTCTGCACAAATAACATTCTTTTTAGAATGGAAGAGAAAATAGAAGAACTAGAAAGAGAGATTGTTATGCTGACAAAAAAATTAAAAAATTCAGGTAAAGATCTCATAGCATAAATATTAGATTCGAATCTAATAAATATGCATAAATTAATCATCTATATATCTATTTGAAGAAGTATCTAGTATATTGTTTGCAGCTTTAACTAACTTGTACTCCCTTCTATTATCCATTTTTTAATTAAATGCATTATTCATCTTCCCATTTTGTCCTGGAAATGTTTGGTCATGGCTATATGAATATTATTTTATAGATGTCAAAACATCCATGGTTAAATTACAATATGCAAGAAAAACGAAGATAGTACAGGTCAGGGTTGGCAAATGTGTGATCCATTGATGGTCCATTGGTGGTCTATTGGGTCCATTAGTGTAACACTTTAACCATATTTAGTATTTTACTAATGGCAATGGACCAGTCCAAAATCCATCTGTTCTCAATAAGGTTTCTGGTCCAAACTGTTTTCTCAAAGCCCAAACTAGTTTGGGCAATTTGGGCTTTTCAACATTTTCTATAAGCATGAACATTAAAAAACTATATGAATCAACTTGTTTTAACTTAAACAACTTTAAAATAATTTCGCCCAATTTCGGCTAATAACAAAAAGTAGTTTGGGCTTATAAAAAAAAATTTTTTGCCCAAAGTATTTGGGCAATTTCGGCTACTAATAGAAGCAGTTTCGACCAGAAACCTTAGTTCTCAATGGACCAGTCAATTTGCCAACCCTGGTACTGGTGGATATTGCCAAGGCAAATCAGAATCTGATCAAATACCTAACAGAATTAGGTCTAAAATATCTTTAGTTCCCAGAAGGAACAGAAAAATGCCATGTAAATGTTGAAACTAAATTTGAAAAAAATATGATTGAGGTAACAGAGGATACTCAAATCATGGATGTTACATCAATCATGTCGGAAATTCCTACTTTTGTTTTCATACTAGTAAGTAACAGAAATCTGACATTTTACAATTTTTATCATATATTAATAATTTAAATTTTTTTTAGTTGTAAAATCATTTTCAACTTGCACATTTTCAGAGGTATCCAAATTATTTAATCTTAAAATAGATAGCATGGGTGAGTGTTTGACTTATCATCAAGAAAAGACCAATTTGAATGGAATGGATGGATATATCAAGGAAACTGTTTGTGACCTCAAGGTAATGGTAACTTTGTCATTTACATTTTTTATCCATTGGATACATTATTTAATTATCCAATATTTTATTAGCGTTTGCACAGGGCATATGATGATGTTTCAGGGATCAATGAAGCATCATATTCTGTTTTCATAAGAGCGGTTCTTGTTGGAGTTCTACAGACATATAATCCAGTGGACAAATATTTACTTCACAAACAGAAGCTGATCACAGGAAATTATGGAACTGGACAATTGATTTTGCAATAAAAAAAAGCAACAATTAATTAGCATAACTGAAGCAAAAAAAGAAAGTATTACTCAAGGATTTGCACAGAATCTAGTACAATTACATAGTTCATATATGGTTAGTTTTAATATTTTTTTGGAAATAACATATTATATTTTCATGATGCTTATTAAAATTTGCAACATTTATTTATTTATTAGACCAATCAAAGAAAAACTGACAATGAAGAAACTTCTAAATTACAAGTTCTATTTGGTATTGTCTCAACAGGCACTTTCACCACATGATCCATGAACCTAATAAGAAATACCCAATTGTTCAGAGAAGTTCTCTTTCAGCAATAAATTTATCTGTAATTGGTAATATATTTGATGAAAAAGTGGTGAAAGAAGAGGTATCAGCATTATTTTATTACTTGAAATGGTCAATATATTTGTTTGGTGAGCTGTCACACATGGATGATGATGCTAAAAGGAAAAAATTAAATATTTAGGTGTTATTTTTGCATCTTGTATTATATTATATAGTAAAACTTTTGAATATTGATGTGGGAGATATTTTCAGGACATCCACCTTTTGATAATAAAGCACATGATTATTATTTAATTATGGAAATTTGTCAAATATGCCAGAAAAATATGCAAAAATGATGCAAAAGTATTGGAGAACTTAAATGATAAAATTGCTTGATTTGTTATTTTAGATATTTACATATTATTTATATATATATTAATTTAATTTTTAAACAAATAATAATAACTTATATACAAATACAATTTAAATAAGTGAATTAATTTTTAAACAATCTTATATTTATCAACTTATACAAATAAATAAATATTTACATATTAATGTTGTGCATCAAATTTAAATCTTTATCAATTTAAATTTGATACACTTCCAAAATGATAGCTCAAAAGAAGTTAAGAGATGGACAGATTAATTAGTAGTCTGCTTTTGTTAGATTTTTTTCTTTTCATAGGAAAAATCTTCTCTTGTAGGAAAAATCCTACTTGGCAAAAAAAAAATCCCTCATAGGATAAATTCTCACATTGTATTCTTCCTACTGATTTAGATTTTTTTGAATTGGATTTTTTGCACCTGTTGTAATTGTTATTTGTGGTAATGGTAACTACCAGTCCAAATATTTACAGTGAGTGTCTTTAATTACTATCTCTCAACAGTGAGAATGAATTAGAGATAATCATCCTGATTTTGATATTTTTATTGTGCAAAAATTACTTCATGTAGAGACAATTTACCATCAAATAATACCCTGATTACAAATATTCTCACCATAATCCAGTATTCTAATATTTATCATGTTAAAACTACTGTCTCTGATCTAAAAGATGAATATTTTGCCAAAGCTGCTGATGAATATAAAAACAATATTTCAAAAAATAAAAGAAATTATGATGATGAATATGATTATGAATAGCAGGTATAACTTTTTTAGGTTTTATAATTACCACATTAAAAGAATTAAAATAAAAAATAAATCAATATTGTAACAATTAGATTATTTTCCTTCTGATTATTTTTGCTTTTTGTTAGGTAATAGCACACTTTCATTCTGCTTTCTTTTTCTAACATCTATTATTTTTCTTTCTTCTTGGTAAATCTCATAGGTAATCCTTTCTTTTCTTAGATAAGCTTCAAGTGTCTGAGTATCATTTATTTTGAAAATATAGGGTGCAAATTTTTCACCCTGTTCCTTTTTTAAAATACTTCTAATGGTACTATAATTCTTGGGTTCCATAGTGGATCTAATATAAATATTAACTATTTTTATATAGGGGGATAGTTCTATAGATCACTTAAGATAACAAATGGATATTAATTATGATCACATTATAAATGATCCCTGAAATTCTTGGTAATACCAATGTTCACTTTGTCTGGTTTTGTTGTAGCATGCCCCAAATAATAAACATTAAGAAAAGAAAGCAGGATGAGGACATACAATTACAAAACAAAAGACAGAAATCCTTAGAAGGAAAATAATTTTATTATTATGATATTGATTTATTTTTTTTTACTACAAAGAAAATTCTCTATGCAAAATGTAATATTGCATTGCTTATCAATAAAAAATGTTGAGTTTTTGAACAAATTCTACTACATTCAAGGACAATTTTATTTTGGTTTAGAAAACAAACAAATAATAAATAAATATTTTCATCCATAATAACATTTTAAAAAAAAATGCTTACATTCAATTGTGAATTTTTTTGCGGGTTGTTAATTGGAATTTTCCTTGGTTTCTTATTTCATTATAAAACTCAATTCTATATTATAAATCAAAAAATTGATCAAATAATCAATAAAATAGAACCAAGAAAAAGCCAATTCAAAAATAATTTATAAATTATTTATGCATTTTTCTATTATTAGTTGAATTAAAATAAAAATAATTTTCTTTTGTTGTTTAGGTAAGCATTATAAAGTAAAAAACCACCCAATTGTTTTTGATTTACCACCATTAAATAGTTATTAAATCAAATTTTTAATATAATAATAATAATATAATTTACATGAAGGATGTTATCAATTTCAGATAATATTATACATTCTAAAAAATTTGAAGGACACTTTATTATTATTATATATTAATATTAATATAGTCTGTTTCCTTTAAAGGATCAACAATAATTTGTGGTTGCATGATTTGAAAAGCTAATGTCATTAATTGCACTCATGAGATTCATGAATTTCATGAATGCAATCACTAGTCATTATTGACCAATAATGTTTTGATTTTTAAAAAAACAACAATTGGAGCTTATCAAGTATTATTGAATGCCATCGGATGAAAAATGATATTAAAGAACTTTAAATCATTTTCCCACTCATGGTTATCGAAAAAAAGAGCATTTCCGGAACGTTTTGAAGCAAGTCATTCATTACTTATTCTTAAAAAATTTTGGTAAAGGGCCTAGGAGTGCAATTGTCTTATCAAAACATACACTGCCTGGAAGAAAGTATCTGAACCTCGTTTTTTATTAATTCCGCAAACTTTTACATAATAAAAAAAATTTTGAAAATATCATCATGTAGTCATATGCGCTGATTTTGTTTGAACCCCAAAATCCAGTACGGTATGATAATAACGTTATGAATACTTTATACTAGCAAAAACCCATTGGTTTTGAGGTGGGGCCATTGGTTTGACGGGTTGATGGATAGTAAATTAGTTTTTTTAGCGGAGCAAATAATTTTTTTTAGGGTAATTATCATTCTACCGACCAGTTTACACATTAAAAATACTGTGTTTAACATCGAGACACAATAAGACATAAGGTTTGAAAAAAGGCCCAAAAAACCAAATCGGCTGATATGCTTAGGTTTTAACGAATATAAAAAATGATCATCAAAAATTTTAAAAACCAAAATTTTAAACATCACCCAATAAAAAATTTAATATTCTGTGGGCCATCCATTATTAGATATGCATGCTTTAATTCTCCTTGGCATGCTTTCAATCAGTTTATTATAAACTTCTTCAGGAATATTAGATCACTCCTCTTGCAAAGCAATCTCTAATTCTTGAGAATTCTTGGGATGGATTTCTGCATTTTCATAACGTTTAATGGTATCATAAACTGTAGTTTTTGGAAGCTTAAGTATCTTTACAATTTTATTAAGACTACTACCACCGAATCTAAGACCCAAAAATTTTCCACGCTCAGCTTCAGTTAATTCGGAATTTTTTGGCGATCATATCATATTTAAATAAAAAGAGAATTATACAAGTATACCACAACTAGGGCTGGCCATGCAACCCAAATGAGCATTTGGTTAATCTGACCAAACTATTTAGCCATATGTTAGTCAAGAAAATTATTACTAAATTAAAATTTTAACCTTTCATGTTTGCCAACACTCATTTTTTCATTGAAATTCTGATGAGGACCAATTTTCTCAATGATTTGATTGGATGGTTATATTTGATCTGCATTATATGTTAAACAACCAATGGGGCATTACCGTTATATTGTTATATAGAAAAGGCCGTTAAAACTGTATGACAGTCCAACTTCTAACAGCAACAAACAACAACAAAAAAAACAACAAAACCAGCAATAGTGATACTAATTATTAATTTATTAATTAATTGTAAGGGTAAATTTTATAGTTACATTTTTATTTTAAAGTCAAGAGTGTGTAATTTTTATAATAAAAAAAAAACCTCTCTATTTTTGTAATTTTCTCAATTTTCAAACAGCTTTACGAAAATGGCACTTTCATTAAACAAGTATCGTCTTCTCCCACCAAAAAATTTACCTACTTTACACAAAACATTTGATCTAGGTAAGTAACTGCTGTTCTCTTACTGAATATCAAGTGATTGTTGTAAATCTTGTATGTGGTGGCAGGCAATGCTCAATTCTTTCTATTTAACTAGGACATCCGGATTTTTATCCAACTTTATTGGATAAACCCGAAGATCAAATGACAGAAGAAAATGTAAAGAAAGGATACGCCTACACTCCGATTTTTGAAGATGAGACTGGATCATTCAAAAAAGAATTCAAAAATGTTAAATCAAAGTATACATCCTGGAAAGAAGATCTCAGTAATCTTGATGAAATGATGTCAGACATAATAAAATTAAATAAAAATCAAACAATCAAATATGAAGTGTTAGTATGTTGGATTGGCTTCATAATATTCATTGTATTTATAATTCACTCATTATAATGATTTAATGATTTAGGGAAAATACATTCAAACCTTTAAAAACTGAATGGATGCCTCATGACAATAAGGAAAAATGGTTAAGAGATCTTGCCAATAATGTACCTTTGAAAAAATTAAGTAAAATTATTCCTAACACGTATGTGAATATTTATTATTTATTAGACTGTTTATAATATCATTATTTAAGAAACATTTGCAAATAAATTTCTTAGCATGGATGGTATGAATTTATTGGAAGATATTGTCAAGTATAAGGTACCATTAGCTCGTGCAACATGGCTTACAAAAATTGTTTTGATAAACTCGTTTCCGGTACTGATTTTTAAAGTAATCAAATTGATTAATGAGTTATTTTTTGATAATATAATATAATATAAGATTAATTGAATATTGTAATACTCTTAAGAAGGCTCATAAATCAGACCATCCAGTAGATTACACTAAAGTTTTTAATGACTTTCTTCTTGTACAAGCTAATGATTATGATTCTGAAAGATGGAGATATTGGTAATGTTTAAATATTTTATTAGAAATTTTTCTAATCAATATTATCACAATAATTATAATAGTTATAGTCACAATAATGATGATGATGATGATAATGATAGTGATAATGATAATGATAATGATTATTTATTATTTAATTATTTAATTATTTAATTATTTAGTATTTCACTTGCAAAATGGCAATATAATGATGGTTTAATAAGTCAAATTTTTTTTAGATGGATATTGGATGCTTTCGATGCACCAGAGTTTTCACAAACTTCAATGTGGTTACTACTTATACAACAATTCATGGATGAATACCAAAAATCTCGAACTCTTATGAGATTATTGATAGAGCTTTTACTAAAAAAATTAAATTATGTAAAATATTTTTTTCATGTTTGTGAAAACTAACAATTTTAGCTTAATTTAATTTAATTAATATATATGTGTATGTGATTATATATATATATAAATCTATATATTAAATATTTCAGATACATCAACATTCAAATCTTGTTACAAAATTTGAAGTTGTAATACATTCTTTAAAATCAATGCTACAGGTAAGATATATTATATTTTTTTTTAAAAAAAAAAAGATCTTTTGTTATTTATTATATTAATCCATTTTTTTATTCCACAGCAAATTTTCCTTTCAATACCTGATATGTTTGTATTCCCATCTTGCTGGAATACATACAAAGATCTTCTGATAAATATTCTTTTAGAGGATGCTAAATCAGGCACATGTAATCCTGTTTTTGCTAAAAAATTAAGATGTCAAATAGAAAAATTCATTGAAGTAGTGCGTGCTAGAAATGAGGTTTTGAATGAGAAAAAAGGTAATACATTTGAAAGAAAAAACCTAAAAGAAATAAAATTGTCTCGGATAATAAATGTAAGTGCTACTACTACTATTATTATTATTGGGAGGAACAGGGTAAGAAAAGGATAAAAAAACTTTATTTTAACATTAATAGTTAATTAAAATTATTAGATTCTTGATAAAATTGGACCTAAAACCGATTATGATGTTGTTACATCAGAATATTTTTGTATTAAAAATAAATTTCCTTTATTGGAAGAAGAAATCACTACATCCATTTGTTCATTATGCTTTTGGGCAGTAACTAATCTTCGGTCAGGAGATTATAGAATATATTCTGTTTGTCAAATACTTGATATTTGGAAGAAAATTGCTTACAATGACAATGAAAAGATTGAAAAACAAACTTGTATACAAAATTCATTAATGAAGTTTTTGAATGAATATCAGATTGGAAAAAATGGATTAGATGAACTTGATGGTATCCACATATATAAACTTTTAAATTTTATTTTATATACTTATATTTTAATAAGAAATACTAATATTAATATATATCTTAAAGAATATGAAGTCATCTCACGTCTTTTTGGAGAACTTATTCGATATGAACTTTTCTCACATCACAAATATATGTTACGTTTAATAGCAAATGGTTACATACATTCAGATAGCATAGACTATAAGGTTTGTATTTATATTTTAATATAAAAATTCAATATAAAATATGTATGTGTGTAGATATATATATAAATTATAATGACATTTTTAATTTATACAGAACATAACCCACTTAAAATATTTGACATGGTTTCCATTACTTAACAATGATTATAATCAATTAAATCAACGTCGAATTATTTTATATGGTGTACGTGGAAAAGTAAGTAATATTTTGTTTCATATTTACAATTTTTCCTTAAAATATTTATTCATTAATATTTAATTAAAGGATATTCAAGATAAAAAAGATTTTGAAATGCTTGCATCAAAAATCAAAGAAAAATTGTCAACAATGTTTTCTGAAAAAGGTTTTAATTCTTTTATTTTATTATTTGTAAAAATTTTTTGTATATAAATACATTTATATGGATTTTATTATTATTATTTAGCTAAAGAGTTGGATACTCCAGGTATTGATGATCCATTTAAAGATTATTTCGACTTTTCACTTAATTTTGATGATGAGACGATTAATCTTTTCAAGAGTGTAACCAAGTTTACACAGGTCCGTCTGACACGTTTTTGGCTTTGGCCTGCAATTAAGCAATTTGTACAAAATGCACCGTAAGTTTATTTAAAAAAAAAAACTTTGCATATATATTTGCTTCTGGATATATTTTCTAATACTATTTATTAGGATTGATATGCATAATTGGAAAACTTCAACACAGCCTGGCTCTTCACTATTAAATGCTCGTCAATTTGCTACAATTATTCAAGTTTTTGATTTGACAAAAGATTATTATACTTTATTTGAGGTATTGCATAATCATTTCATACCATTATTATAATGATGTTATAGTTCCTTGCAATTAACATTTCAAAAATTACTATGGTATTATATATAGGTAATATTATGGGTTTTGAACAATACTTTAGAGAAAAATATATTTCCACTGATTATAAACACAATAAAAAATTATGAATTGGTATGGAGGGCAATGGGAAAATATAATCAAATTCTTGATGCAGTTTTGGAAAAGGTATTTTTCTAGTTTTAATTAAATAATATATAATAATATTATATGTATATATTAATTATTCAACTTTTTATTTATTTATTTACTTATTTATTTATTTATTTATTTACTTATTTATTTATTTATTTATTTATTTATTTAGAATGAACAAATGAAAGAAAAAAGAGCAATGGAATTATGTATAATAAAATTTCTATTAAGTGTTGTACATGAACTTGGAGTTGAAAAAAAAGCAAAAGTAAATATTAAATTTATTACTTTGTCTGACATCTATTAATATTTATTACTAAATATTACAACCATAATTTATCAGTTGGAACAAGATCTTCAGTTGGCAATAAAAGTAAATAAAATTTGAAATCTTTATTACTATTATATTATTTAATGCTAACATATATATTAAATTTTTTTGATTAGCCCCAACTATCAATTGCAATATCAAAACAAAGATCACGCTTAAGTTCAGAAATTGAACAATTGATGTACCCTATACCTCCCAATGTTCAAAACGATTCACGGATATTCCCATCAGATGATGAATATTTGGTTACAATGCTTTATTTATGCACCGACTTCATCGATAAATACTCACAAGATTATGATCATGTAGAGTTAAGAAGAATACTGGAAATATTTGGGGATTTATTGAGAGAGATAGGAGATAGAACTATAAGTGGTTTTGATGATGCCTTTAAAAAATGGACCGATGTGCATTGTAGTGATGATGATAATCTTTTAAAGCAAGATAAAGGCACATGGTTTTTAATATTTTTTGTGGTATTGGTTAGTCGAAATCTGGTGAAAATTGAGACGATCATCACATATCTTTGCAATACTAATCTTGCACGGCTTGTGAACAAATTATTCTCTAGCAAACCATTAGATTCAAGGGAATTGATCAACTGTAAGAATTTAATTATTCTTACAAGATTGTTACTTTTGATAAAAGATCAAAATAATAGGTCGCCAGAAATGCAATTATTTACACATGCAAGTATACTGATTTTATATTATAAAATATTCTACACAGAAATTCAACCTAATCATTAATTTATTTATTTATTTATTAGGAGCTTCAAATGCTTCGATTAAATTGTTCAAATTTAATTCAAAATCAAGAAAATCTTAAGGAAATTTATTCCATGTTTCATAGATTTGCAATAATCGAATATTCACTAGATCCGGAGAATGATTGCAGTATTAAAGATCAACTTCGATGTTTAAGAAGAGATTTTTCCAAGGTTTTCTGGTTCAAACATTTATGTACAGTTAATCCAGAAAGTGTATATGAACGATTTGTAATGGGATCCAAGAAAATCAAAAGTGCCAAGGAACTTGGAAAACGTTTAATAGAGGTTCTTAAGATGGCACTACAAGATGAAACTAACACAATAAGTAATATTTATTTATATAGTTACATATACATATTTATACAAGTAAAGATTTAGTGAATAATTTTAATTGAAAAAAAAATAATACATTTTTGTTACAATAGGTGATCCTTTTGAATACGTACAAAAAATATTTTCAAAAGCCAATCTTTGGAATCTAAGCAAGACACGAGTAGAATTTTTGTTATATGTAAACCATATTCAATTAATGGAAGCATCAACTTGTCGATTGCCTCCTCCTATATTTAATGAATCTGATACTGAGCATAGTATATTTCTTAATGATAGTGGTGGTAGTATCAATAGTTATGGTGATAAAACAGCTGATCAAAATAACGAAATGGCTTTGAAAATTTTGAAAGGCCATATAGTGAAGTATTTTTGGGAAGAGATAGTTTTAAAATCCAAATTAGATTGTAATGATTGTAATTCATTAAGTTTTATTGTTAAAGGAATTCGAAATAATATTGCAAGTGAAGTAGGCTATTTTTCCTTTATTGGTTTTTTTTTTTTTTGATATTGAACGAGATTTAACAGTAAATGTTTATTCGATTATTCAATTATTCAATGATCCGTTTAGTTAATGGAGTATGGAAACATTATATTGAAAAAGTGTAAACAGCTAGTTCCTGATATCGAAGAATTATTTAGATCATTATTGCTTTCGATTGATGATGATGAAAAAATGAAATTTTGTGATTCTTTGCTCACACAAGTGACAGCAATTAAAAATGAAAAAAACGATGAAGATTTTTTAGCCTGGTAAGAAGTTTTATCATTTAAATATATATATCATATTTTTAAATAATAAGTTATTCGTTTATATTGATTAGAATATTATTATTATTTGAAAAAAGTTTGATGCCACGTATAAAATTATTTGTTTTAGTTATACACATCTTAACAGCTCGTGTAGCGGCAACATCGACTCAGGAGGCTTGTCAAAAAATGAAAGAATACAAATTAATAGAAAAATGGACTATATTACTATTAAGCTTGTTATGTGACGATAGAGTACATCGTAATGGTGGCGGCGCAAAGAATTTTGAATCAATATTGGATGTTGTTTCATTTTTGTTAGACGGTGAGTTATAATATAATTAGATATAATTATCAAAAAAAAACTAATCATCGTCATCATTATTATATATTTATTTTTAGAAATGGGTAAAAATGCAAGGTTATTGATTGTTGCTGAATTAAGGGCAAGTTTTATTGTTTTTATTATTTTTATTTTTATTATTATTATTATTATTATTTAGCCTTTATCATAAAAAAATCAATTGAATTTGTTAATTAATGTTGCAAAAATTTTTTTAAATATAATAGAGAACACATATACACACATTTCAAATACCAATAACATGGGGTGATAGGATAAAACGAGTATTACCATTGCCTGCGACTCAAAAAACCGTGGGTAGTGGTAAAAGAAAATTTACAATAAGTGATTGTCGGAATTTATACGAAAGAGTTGATGACGATTCTGGTATAAACAATTCTTATATTGATCTTAAAATTTACGGAGCAAAAATATATAAAAGGCCAAGAATTCGATTTGAAAAGGAAGAAGAATTAGGAAATGATGATTTAGTAAAATTTAGTAATGATTCCATGATTTACGAGTATACCAATAACAGCGAAATACATTTATAATTTATTTAATTTTATTAATTTTTAATTTAAAAAAACATATAATCTTGTTAATAAAAATTTTCTATTTATTTTTCAAAATGCTTTCTTCGCCAATATCGCAATGGGAATGATATAACAGAAAATCCTAGATTTACATTGCCAGAACGTCCTTTTTTGGCACAATCCCCTCCATTTGTTGTAAAACTAGTTGTTCGAGGAAACAATGCTAACGACACGTCTTATATTCCCATGAAAAGTTTTTTTGAGATTCTTATAAATGGCAGTGTCAGAGCCATCTTCTACACACAAAAGACCTGACTTCTTATAGTTCAAATAATAGCTACAAATAAGAAAATGACAAAAATTCCAGAACAAAAAAAACCAAAAAAGATAGGTTCTATTAAACTATTACATAAATGTTGGGTATTTGATTGAACTGACTTCTTTGCTTCTTTATTATTATATTAAACGAACGATATAATTGTGACAATGTTGCCCTGCTCCTTCTTGACTCTTAATTTCTTAATAAAAATATTCACATCCGAGTATTTCAAAATGATCGAGAATTATAAAAAACTTAGAATAGACGATGAAGACGACGATGAAAGACTCCCCCAAAAAAATAATTCTGAATAAACAATATTTTCAATATTTTCAGAATATTTTATCTATCATGAGGAGATAAAAATCGTTAATAAAACTTTGCTATTATTTTTATTTCTTTAGGAAATATCAAGCCGAATCAATCAACATTCCATTTTTGATTTCTTGGCTCGATTCTAAAACATTGTAAAAAATCCATTCCTAGGATTATAAGTTTTCCGAAACAAGTAATGATAGTGACAATAATTACGCTATTACTATTAATTGTCCAAATATTGTCATCATTCTTTATGGCAATTTTTCCACCATACCATATTCAGTCTTATAATTTTTGGCAATTGGTGTTTCGAGATCGTTAATAAAATCGAATAAATTTGGTGCCTTTTGTGATCATAATTAACAATTTACTATTAATAACGATTAATTATAAGTTAAGTAATAATTATTAACAATTTGAATATTTTATAACCATGGTTGATATTTCTATGTAGTTTGATGTGATTTGTAAATGCGAAGGGACGTCTTTAGGAAAATGTACAAGTACATGGTAAAGTTGCGAATATAATTTTTAAATGTTTTAAATGTAAAGAATATTCTTTGAATGCAATTTTTTTATTTTTTAGCAAAATGTATATTTCCCGATGTTATTTGCACTACGGTGCAGATCATCTATAATCATTAATTGCTTATAGTAACAATTGGACAACTTCAAAATACTAAAACAAAAAAAAATTATATCATTTTAAAAAATTTAACCGATAAGTTTTATTGTTCATGACT